AAACAGCCATGCATGATTTTGAATGCTGTCAGCGCACACTGAGCTGAACATGCTGATGTGAAAACAAGCTTAACATGGCTCCTGACCTTTCTGTAATTACCCGTAGAGTATTTCAGTCTCTCAAAACCTCCTGCCTTTGAAGCCCTGGGAGAAAGTACTTCTCTCCCGAAGATGAGCACACACATCTGGAGGAAATCGGAGCAGAGCTGATGTGGCATGTGTTTGCCCCCCCCCCCCCCCCCCCCCCCCCAATCCTAAAATGACAAATAAAAACCTCAGTGGAGGATTCAGATGCAGAGGGCAAAGATCCTATTTGCTGTTTGATTGGATGGAGGTTTAGATTTAACAGCGAGGTCTTCTGTTTTCTTTCCTGATCATACACTCACCAAACACCCTATGTTTTAATCATTCGAGAAAGAGGAAAAATAAGTCTTCAAATACAAGCCTGAGGGAAGGACCAGCAGATTTTCGCAACTAAAACCACGGTGGCTTAGTCTGATAAAAATCCCAGGATTCTTTGAATATGTCTCTCAGGGAAGGATTAAACAGGAATCCAAAGGGTCACGATTGAACAGGTGTGCATAAGCACCTTAAATCTAACATAGAATAACAGCTTTTTGACAATTACATTTACTCCAGGTGACATGACGTGTCAAACCGTCACATACTTGCAGGGCATTTGGTGCCACATATCACTCATGATTGCCAATAACATCTGCTTAGAAATATCCGCCACGTCTGAGTGGCAGAATGGGAGAGGGAAATTGCAAGCAATCTTGTAGCACAACCTCGCTGCCTGATTGAATGCTATTGATTGTCTTTAGTGTTGGTTTTTCTCTATGGTGTGTGCACCATGCAAACAACGATTACAGCCTTCGAAAGGCAATCACTATTACACCACCTGAATTGTTGGATTCCATGAAGCTGTGTAATTATATCAAAGATGGAGCATAACAGTCACTCCTGCTTGTCAATAACAATATTAGAATAATCTTGTAGAGCAAAACAGCAGAGGAAAACAGGATGTTATTGGGAAAAAGAGAATAATAATAAATGTACAAAGAAAAAGCCAACATAAAATGCCTTAGTAAAGTGTTGGGCCACCATGAGCCAGAAATAGCTCCAATGCTCCTTGCTCCAAAATCTCTCAAAGGTGCTCAATTGGGTCGAGATCTGGTGACTGCAAAGGCCAAAGTGTATGAATCACATCACTTTCATACTTATCAAACCATCAGTGACCCCTCGCGCCCTATGGATGGGGCATTGTCATCCTGTCACTTTGTATTGATTTGAAGTGACCCTTTCCTCTAAGGGGACAAATGGGCCCAAACCATGCCAGCAAAATGCCCTCACAGCATGACAGAGCCACCGGATCCCCTCGCGGTGGGGGTTCAAGCACTCAGGCCTGTAGTTACTGTCACTGTTCCTATTGAAACACACCAGTTGAGCATCTTTGTCAGTGAAGCTCCTGCCAACCAGGCCCCAAAAGATCAGCTCTCTTTCATGATTGGTTTCCTCTTCCATCTTGATACAAAATCAGATACACCTGGGCCTGCTCAGCAAACTTTCCAATGATATCCTTTTTCTTTTTCTTCAGACAGCTATTTAAATGAAACCATGTGAGAAGTTTGGAGGAGAATTCAATCACTAACAACTCACAGACATCTATGACAAGGTGCCCGACTTTGTAATTTTGTTGCAAGTGAAAATGGTTGAAAACCACTGATTTAATCTTGAACGATGAACTTCATTTTATGAACTCATCAGACTTTTTTTATGTAAAAAAAAAAAAAAAAAAAATCGTAATCTAAAAATAATCTCAACAGTAGCAAGTGACTACAGCTGTCAGATAAATGGAGTGGAATAAAATGTACAAAACTTTTCTGTCAAATGCAATGGAGTAGAAGTATAAAGCAGCATAACATGGTAAATAAGTAAAGTACAAGTGTTTCAGAACTGTAAATGTACTTGTGCTACATTCACCACTGGGATCAGGCATGTAGTCAGCAATGATCTGGTTCTTGTCATTGAGTTTTATGTTGATTTTTTGTGCGTATGTATAAAAGCCCTTCTATTAACAGGAACTGCAAACTAGCTTATATGACATAAGTCCATGCTACATACTAATCTGTATTAAAATAAACACTAGATGAATATCTAAACACATAGATGCCTTCACCTTGTGTGCATGTGCAGCTGAAACTCGCCTGAGCCCAAGTTGCATTCTGTGCCCAGCGACTATGTATGCAAGTGACGTGTGAGCTCCTCTGGTCCCGCGTCACACTAATGCAACTCGACAGTATCTGCATCACATCATGATGCTGAGCCCCATGCAATTATTCCTTGGGATACATTCATATTCATAATCCCATTAGTTTTGACTCCAAGATAAGGGCTTTTTTTCCTGATACAAATATGATTTATCCTGTTTGGGGGATTATATCAGATTCTAAATGTTTGGCCTACGAGGACTGAGCCGAGCTAAAATGGAGTCAGAATTGTTTATCATTTCATTTTCTTTTAGTGGAAACAAGATGCTCAAGCGTGACTAAGCTGTGTTCACACTACTATACCCCCCACCTGCTGGAGATAAGACCATGCATGCTGTACATGATACGTGCATGCGGGAGGGGCTCATCACACACTTTCAGGAAGCATGCCACTAAACCAAATCAGCAGGAGCCTTCTCCAACACCCTCTTTTACATGTACACCCTCGCCACCCGCATGTGCCCACACACACACACACACACACACACACACACACACACACACACAGCATCCAATTAATTAGTGTGAATGAGTGATGTGCCCTTGGCTCAGCTGCATGACCGTCCGCCCCTCAGCCTCTCTTTGCCTCTTGCACACCGGGGACATGCACTGACTATCGGTTATCGAGTTTAGCTCGAACAGTTTGTCGCACACTTTGATCCGCCCACAGCAGGACGCCGCACCATTACACTCTTTGTAGACACACAAAGTGGCCTGACCAAAAGAGACAAGATGCAGATGAAAGGGGGAAAAAAATAAGTTTATGCAGACAGAAAATGAGACGAGAGGAAAACAAAGCAAAGGAGATGACAAAACAACAGGTAGGAAAACTAGTTGACAGGCAGCAGCAAAAGACAAACAAATACAGACAGACAGGCGGACAGGTGGGTAGGGGGAAATCATAACCAGTCAATGGACTATAATGGGAATGCTTTACAGCTACATGTAGGTGGTCCTAATGATGTTTTGCTTATTGCAGGCACCAATGATGCTTTGCTGGAATCTCCTGACTCGCTTAGATTGGTCTCTTATTGCACTTGTACAAGTGTATGTGTGTGTGTGTGTGTGTGTGTGTGTGTGTGTGTGTGTTGTTTCCTCTCTGCAAAAAAAAAAAAAAAGCAAAATGATGTCAGTGAGAGAGGATATTTAACTTAGCATCCCATTTTCTGCCCTGCTCTTAATTCCAACTGAGCACTGCAGATGGAGGTGGAGAGGAGGGAGGGTGTCTGTGTGTGTGTGTGTGTGTGTGTGTGTGTGTGTGTGTGTGTGTGCGTGCCCCTGCGTGTGTGTGTGGGATGGGGGGCAAGGGAGGGGGGTAACTACCAAACTCTCCTGTGCAACCATTTGCCCCTTCAGCTGATGCAATACTCTTAAAACAATGGAGTATAATACAAAGTGATAGGAGATGAGATGTTTAAACCACTTCCCTTTGACTTTTTTCCGTTGTGGATCTTTTTTTTTTTTTTTAAGCAAAGGATTTCTATCTTGGAAAAAAAAATCAAAAAACGTCACGCACACATGCGCATATAGGCTGCCACACTGACGCATCGTTTGTTGTATAGTCAACTGTTTTTTTTTTTGCTGGACTGAGGCATGCCTGTGTGTGTAGCGGAGAGCCAGCTTTTACCGCATTCAACAGTGTTTTCAAATCACGGGGCGAAAGTCAGTGGAGGCTTGTGTGGCGCAAATGATCCGGGGACAGATCGGCTGAAGTAACACCGTCTATCCTTTGAGGATCGTGTGTGTGTGTGGGGGTGCAATTTAAAGCACTGAGCTGAGGCAGAACGATCCTTATGTGAAGTCTCCCGATGATTTCGACTTGGACACTTTTACCATGGAGCTGCAAGCTTGAAGAGTGAGAAGAAGAATTTGCAAAAAGGAGCCTAATTTTGAGGCAGAAACCTATTTTTGCGCATCTGGATGGAAATAACCTACACGTCCAAAGCTGTAAAGTGTGATTTTTTTTTATAGTTGGAAAAAAAAACAAAAAACTCGCCCCTGTATGTGGATTGATTTTTTTCTGCTCTCTCCTCTCAGCATTCCCTCAGTCAGTCGACGGATTTTTGCCATTACAGCTCAGTAGAGGGTGTCAGATCTTTCTTAGAGCACCGCGCTAGGATGAACACAGTCTCCGCGTTCCTCTTTTTGTGATTCCCGAATCGCCGCACACACACACGCACACACACACGCACACAAAATAGAGAAGGAGGAGGAGGGGGGAGGGTGAGAGAAACGGCGCAAACGAGCGAGGCAAGAACGCCGAAGGATGTGAGGGGGGATGCGGGTGTTTTGCAGCGGTGGGATCGCCTCCGAAAGCTCCAGCGCAGGGTGTGAATTCAGCACCAGGGGAGAGGGAACAGCTCCCAACGCCGCAACACGCAGCACGACTGGAGGGGGGGTGGGAGAGAGAAGAGAAAAAGGCACGGATTTGTTCATTTTTTTTTTTTTCTTGCCAAGGTCAGTCTTAAACGAAGTGAAAAAGCCTAAAGATGTGTTGGACTCTACTGCCGCTCGCTGTTTTTGATTTTGATCATAAACACGCGGAGGCTCTGAGGATTCAGTCGATGTGAAAGAGACGTTTATGTGGTCATTTTCAAACTGCAAGTCTGGACACAAGAGCAGGTTAGATGCAGCATGGATCTGTTATAAAAGACTGCCTTATCTTCTCCCTAAATGTCTATATCTCCTCCTGTTTTTCTTCTGATTGATGTAGACTAAATTCACAGCTCGTATGTCTTGAAACCGGGAATGAATTGTTCACGTTGAAAAATGCTGCTTTGGATTGTTCTGCTGAATGCGGCTCTTTGTGTTGCTAGTGGAAATGTTACAAGGGACGTTTGTAAGGAGCAGATATGCTCTTGCAACGAGATAGAGGGAGATCTGCACATAGACTGCGAAAAAAGGAGCTTCACCACTCTGCAGCATTTGACTGGCCCGAGCTCGCAGTTTTACCACTTGCTGTTGCACGGGAATTCTCTATCCAGGCTATTTCCCAACGAGTTCGCCAACTTTTACAATGCTGTGAGCTTGCATTTGGAGAACAATGGTCTGCACGACATTGTCCCCGGCGCCTTTCTGGGGCTGCAGCTGGTGAAAAGGCTGCACATCAATAACAATAAGATAAGATCATTCAGGAAGAGTACATTTCTGGGGTTAGACGACTTGGAATATCTCCAAGCTGATTTCAATCTACTGAGGGATATTGACCCCGCCGTTTTCAGGGACCTAAATAAACTTGAAGTGTTAATACTTAACGACAACCTCATCAGTGCGCTACCTATAAACGTGTTTCAACATGTGCCCATTACGCATCTCGACCTGCGGGGAAACCGAATCAAAACGTTGCCTTATGAGGGGATCCTTGAGCAAATACCGGGCATTGCAGAGGTTTTGTTGGAGGACAACCCATGGGACTGTAACTGCGACCTGGTTTCTCTGAAGGAATGGCTGGAGAACATACCGCATAACGCGCTCATTGGGAGGGTGATATGCGAGGCTCCCACCAGGCTGCAAGGGAGCGACTTAAACGAGACGTCAGAAGAGGATCTGTGCCCTTCACAGAGCGGCGGCGTGGACGCCAGCCTGGTCGCCCCTCCCACCCAGGAGGAGACCTCGCAGCCTGTGGCCCACGGCCCGCGTCCTACGCCTTGCAAGCCCAGCGGAGACGCAAGCGGGCCCCCGACGCCTGGCGGCCACGGACCCAAGAGCCGCTCCAAATCTCGTGAGAACTGGCAGCTGAAAACTAAGCCCACTCCAGTGGTGACAGGTGTGAACGGGGAAAGAGAGCAGCTGCACAACATGACGTGCCCCCAGCCGTGCAACTGCAAGCTGGTCGGTTCCAGACAAGGGCTGGGGGTCAACTGTGAGGGCAAAAAGATCGAGAGCTTATCCAACCTCAAGCCTAAGCCCCTGGCCGCTCACGAGTTGAACATGAGAGATAACAACATCCACGCAGTGAAAAAGAATCAGCTGCTCGGCTACTCCAGCCTCAACCTGCTTGATCTGGGTGGGAACAACATTAAGGCGATTGACAACAGCACTTTCCTGAACCAGAGCGAGCTGAGGTGGCTCTACATGGATAAGAACTATCTGGATACGCTGATAGCAGAGATGTTCGTGGGCCTTGTGAATCTGGAATATCTCAGTTTGGAATACAACGACATCCAGATGATAGTGGCAGGTGCGTTCGGCCCCATGCCAAATCTGAGGGTTCTGTTCCTCAACAACAACTTGCTGAAATCGTTACCCGTGGATGCTTTCCTTGGGATTTCTTTATCCAAAATTAGCCTGCATAATAATTATTTCCCCTATCTCCCGGTGGCTGGCGTGTTAGACCAGCTCAACTCAATCATACAGATCGATTTGCACGGGAATCCGTGGGATTGCTCGTGCAACATCGTGCCCTTCAAGCAGTGGACGGAGAAACTCGGGGCCGATGTGATAGTGAGCGATCTCAAGTGCGAGTCCCCTGAAGAATTTTGGAAACGAGATTTCCGCTACGTCCGGAACGACCTCATGTGTCCCAAACTCTATGACAGAATCTCCCCCACCTCCCTGTCCAAAAACAGCACTTTCACCCTGGACTCGGGGACGCGCTCGAACTCTTATTTGGAGCCGAACAGGGTCTCCATCTCAGTGCTCGTCCCCGGGTTGCTGTTGGTGTTTGTCACGTCCGCTTTCACTGTTGTAGGAATGCTTGTGTTTATTTTGCGGAATCGAAAGAGGTCAAAGCGGAGGGACGGGAACTCTTCCGCCTCGGAGATCAATTCCTTACAGACAGTGTGTGACTCGTCTTATTGGCACAGCGGGCCTTATCACGCAGACGGGGGCGCGCACCGGGGCTTCGACTGCAGCACGCACCTCTCCACGACAAACGATGCGTAAAGGGACTGTATAGAATAAGCCCACACCAGACTGGATTACAAACAGTCACGCAGACAGACTGACACATGACTAAAACAGCAAGAATCAGCCGCTTTTGTTCATCACAGGGGGACACAGACTTGTTTATGTCTTGTTTCCTCCAGTTGAACCAAGTAAGTCAGTCTGCTGCTGCACAGGCCCCACTCTGTAATATATGTACATGCCGAGCCCCCCTGGCTAAAACCCCTCCCTCCCTGCCTCCCTCCCTCCTCCTCCCAGTTCTGCTATTTGCCGCAATCGGACTACGGATCAGTATGAGACAGAAAAAAAGAGGTGGTGGGGGGGAGAAAAAAAGGAAGGAGGGAGAGGGCGTGTGTGTGTGAGAGAGAGAGAGAGAGAGAGAGCGAGACCGAGGACGCGGGGAATGGTGCACGAACGCATGAATGTAAATGTAAATACTCGGACCCGATGTATCATAATCTGCATGATGATATTTCGCATGGTTTCAACACACACACACACAAAGCGCGCGCGCGCGCGCGACGGCGAGGAACCATAACCACCATAACCAACAAAGAAGCAAACTCGACCCTTTCATGTTATATCAATATGACGACTATATATAGATATTAAGATTATGTATGACTATTACAAAGTGCCATTTCTCTATTTTTTGTGAACCTGCAGTTAGGATTTGTATTTGTTGTTTTAAACTTGTTTGGAGAAAAGAGAAAAAAAAATCAACAATGATGACTATCGGAAAGGAGTGATGGAAGTGAAGCTGTCAGTGCATGTTATTTTCTGTTTGTTATCATTTGATTGTCGATAAATATTGGGGTTATTTATACCGTATTAGATGGTGCAGATTAAATCCACGTCTGCGCAGTCATCATCTCCTTTATGAATGTAAAACTGTGTTATTTTATGGTGTGCCAATTGTTGACTTTCAGATATTCAGACATGCAGATGAGCATGACCAATTAACGTCACTCAGATGCTTATGCTGCAAAGTTAATGTAGCTACAATAACAGTTCCGTGGTTTTGTGTGTCAATGAATATAGCCTGCTTTGGGTGAGAGGAAGAAAAAAAAAACACAAGAAGTAATTTAAAAAGGGGGGTTTATACCATCATATTTTTTCAACAACTGAGCAAAGAAGTGTTTTCAATTGAGCTATGTAGGTATAATTCGATCTATGTAAACAGCGCAGGTAGACTGATATAGACTAGAATGCTTTTTTAATGTCAGAAAAAGAGTATTCCTCCACAAAAAAGCTTATGGCTATGTTTCACTTTCATCATATTGTGAGCTTTTGTAAAGCCATCTAATCTTGTCCAAATAAGAGAACTGAAACTCACTGTATTTACAACAAAATGTGCTTGAAATAGGCTGTTTTAGGGCGTGAGTCGGGAGGTGGGGGGGCACACTATGGCAACAACTCAGCAAGTGGCCAGACCCATAGAGATACATGAGGTACGGTGAAAAAACGGACACACACAACACACACACACACACACACACACACACACACACACACACACACACACACACACACACACACACACACACACACAGAGATACACATGTTGTGTAAGTGATTCGATAATGCGAGATGCCTTTTTCAATTCAGCATTTTGAACTTAAGGAACTCTTCTTGCTGGTGGGGGTGGGGGTGGGGGTTCGCATGGTTTTTGTAGGCTCATGAAAACAATGCCATGACTGAATACCTGTTTTGCAGAGCTCAGCTGACGGGTCTGCTGCTGCTGCTTAGCCTATACTGCTTTAACTGAACCTGGATTTGGATTTAAAATATATATATATATATATATATATACAGGAGAAAAACAGCAGATAAGCATTAAAAGTTGGGGCATATGAAAAATTCTCAATTCTTTAACTTCTCTGTGGTGTCTGAAACAGATGCGAGGAATGTGCAATTAGCAGTCTTTATTTTTGATTTTGATTTTGTTGAATTATGATGTAAAATTTCCCAGTGCTGACAACTTATTTTAACTTTGCCAATTGTTTTCTTTAAAAAAAACCCACTTAAGATGCCTAATTTTAGACAAGATTTCAGCATAATTGGGAGAAAATCTACCGAAGATGCCAATGGCCATGGTGAGAGTGTACAGAGTTGATGTGAGATGGGCTTACACCCCCCCCCTTCCCCTCCCGCCCACTAGTAGGCCTACAGTATCTACCCTAGTATGCAGACTAGCGCTGTCCATGGTGCTGAATCACTCCCCCCCTCGTGCTTTCTTTGTCGGCCTGCCCCCTTTGCCCGTGCGTGTGTTTGTGCATGCACATGCCCCCCGTCCCACCCACCCCTCACCCCCACCCCCTTCCCATGTGTGTATGAGGACAAATGAAAGACAGAAAGAGAGAGAGAGAGACATCGTGAGAGAGAGAGAGTTGCGTGACTATTTGCATGTATGTGTCTAAACCCTTACTTCCACACTGCCCTCCCCTTTTCCCCTCTTCCCTTCTCCTCCTCTTCCCAGATATGTAACCTCGCCGCAGCTTGACCTTGGGGACTAACATCTCAGCAGATCTGTGACAAACACTCATCATCATCATCATCATCATCATTATCATCATCACCACCACCTCCCTTTTGCATTTTTTGTCCAGTCACCTTGCTTCCCTCCTCAACTCCCTGTTCCCTGCTCTTCTGTCCAATCACAGGGAGGGGGGACTGGGGTAACTATGTGTCTCTTCTGTGGAGTATTACTGTGCCACAGCCCACTGATGATTTGTCATAATTTTCAAACGCTGTGTTTCAAAGATACATTTATATGCTTTGCAATATTTGACCTGCTTCTATTTTGTTAAATAAAGTGTGGTTGAGGTTGAGTAAAAAAACCATGTTTGGTTTCAGAAATCTTTCATTGGGTTTGATTCAGTTGCTGTAATGGAACATGTGACAGCATTGATTTATGATGTGTTCATATTATTTTGCATTATTTATGTCCTGAAGGGTTTATAAATACATAGTTGAGTTTCACTCCCTTTGTTCCTCAATACAGAAGAAACTTCAAAATAAGTGCACAGAGCACAGTACGCTGCAGGTTTTTACATTGTATAGTATCAAGACATTGTCTTATTATATTATTTTCAAATTATACTGTCAGGATTCAATCAGAATCCCTGGGGAGAAAATGACACATTTTGCTCTCTACAGTTCTGGCTGTACTATCACACAATGCCCAACACTGCAACTTCAATGTGAATGTATTCAGTTCCACTGTCTAATGAGGCGCTATTTATAGAGGGTTTATATGCTGTAATGATTGGGTTTACATAATTTACTAATGCTTTATAGATCAGTTATAAGCCATTAAAGGAGCAATTTTTGTTAGTTTTGCTATTGCTACATAGCGAGCAGGTTGTGGAATATCCTCCTCCAGCATGACACTTGACTTTAATCTGATGATAAGTAGTTCATAAATGAATTTAGGTCTCCCTCATGATTTCAAGGTTTTTTTTTTTTGGTTTGTTTTGTTTTGTTTTGATTTGTTTTATCAAAAGAACATAGACACTAATAGTTAGTGTCTTGCTGTTACAGGGTTAATTCCAACTGCTGTTATAAATGTATGGAGTCCTATTACATTTAATGGAAAACGCCATATATTCTGCAGCAGAGTGGTATAATGTGTAAAATACTGGATAATACATCTTCAAAATATTACATATCTTTTGTGTGAATCCATTAGAGACTGCTTTCTGTCCGGTGTTCCTATGTGCTTGTAGTCCTGTGTGACTCAGTGTCTAACAGTAGGACCCATTCATTAATGCAATGGATAATAGCTGCTGGAGAACACAGTGGAGTGGAGTTAGCCTCTTTTACACGCAGGGCACACAACACTCCAACACTGTTGTGGCCCAGCAGGCCTGCCGTAGTTTGTGTGATAGTTCCCCCTGAGGAGCTGGCAGCTGATGCAACACTTCCAGCAGGGATAACATCATCTGCACATCTCATAACTCTGCTTTGGTGTAAGTCTCAATGGTCTCGCTTTGGTTGAAGTCAGGGCCATAATCCTGAGGGTATGGAAAATAGTTTGTGTGTGTGTCTTGTATTTGGAACCGTATTTTTTCTTCAAGGTTACTACTTCACAGGCTAAGAACAATGTACCTTTGGCTGGTTTGGTTGGTTAGTCATCAGATGGAATTCCCATTGTGGCCTCAACACCCACTACCAACATTATCTCTTGTTTTTGTGCCACCTCAGGCCCATCTGCTTTGTTTTTCGTTTTCGCTCAGAAAAAGGTAACCTGTTTTTTTTTTGTTTTTTTTATTTGGCCAAGTGATCCCAAGCATACTGTCTGTCAGTCAGCATACCCGTCCTCTTGCTTGCCGTGCCTCAGATTCACACGGAGTTCTAAATGACAGCATTACGAAACTAAAACACCAGTCTTTTCCTTTAATTTGAGCTAAAGCATCAGCGACTAGCTTTTATCTTACTCCCAATGGTCAGATTTACTGTGTCGGCTCTTGTTTAGGTTTTGTAAAAATCCCCAAAAGATTTTAAGCTCGGGTATTAGCCTTTGATGTTAGCTTTGATGAAAGTCCCATGTGTTGCACTAAAGAGTTGCCAGCAGTCCTGCACTTCCAAACTCTGCAGCCACTGCAACCCTTGCTGCTGGTATTAGACCATGGGGATGTGTAGCAGTGATTATGTGGCATTATCCCCAGGGATTTTTTGGTGTTACTCCCAGATATTATTATTAGCCCATCCACTGCAAGCCTATAAGTCTCAGTGGTTGGGTTTTATTAGCGCTTATGTTCTTTGTGAGCCACAATAGTAATGGAATGCCCTCCATTCTTTAATGTTTTGCTTGGATTCAGAGCCAGTGATTGGTACTGAATGCACTGGAGTGTAAGTGTTTTACATGAAAGGAAACACAGCAGCGTGACAAGCAGGCATTAGCTTGTTTAATCACTGTGCTTGTTAATATCCCCTTCAATATGCAAACATATCCTAAAAACACATCTCAAATATAATTACAATATAAAAAAGCAAAATCTTTAGAGGGTAAAAATGTGTTAGCCCTGGGTGGAATTTCGCCTGCAGCCTTGCTCAATGTACCCTTGCAATACACTCACTGTAAGTCATTTTTGGAGTGGCTAATCAGTCTTTTATTGTTGTATATTTGGCTTTGTGACAACTTAACTAAAGATGATGCAGGTTGGAGCT